CGGCTCGGAGCGCAGCGGCCGCTCGGGACGGGGCTGGAGTGAGTCCCGCGGCGCCCCGCGCCTCCTTTCAGACCTGGGGAGCTCGGGGTCCCGCCCCTCCGTGCGGCGCCTCCCCCGTGCGCTTCCCTCCGGTGTCCCGGCTCTGGACGATCCTGGGCCCCAAGGAGGAGCTGATTGGGGCTGGGGCTGCAGGAGCGCCTGGCGGGGTGGGTGGGAGGGGCGGCTGTGGGCTGCGCGCCAAGGACTCGGGCCGAGCCTCCTGGCGCTCCACTGGGTCACGTAGCGCTCGGAGGATCCAAGGCCGTGGGTGTGGAGATAGTGACGGCTCGCCTCTAGCCCAAGATCCGGAGAAGGGGCTGTGGGTGGGTGCTGGCAAGCTGCTAATTTATAGGGGATTCTTCCCCCTCCCCCCCCCGGGGTAGTTGGAGGGGATCCTGGAGGGCAGGGCGTTTTCCCTGGGGCTGTCCCGCCTCCGGCCACAGGGCTGGGCGTCGCCACTGTTCGGATATAGATGGGAACCTTCCTCCTTAGGTAAAGAAGGTTCTTGAATGGACACAGTAATAAGCGGGGAGCAAATGTGAGGATCTATTGTTTTCGTTTATTTGGTAATGAAATTTGGGGAACTCAGGTTGGGGCCTGTGGTAGTATCCTGCCTCTCCACAGGCTGGTAGAGCTGTGCTAATAAGAGGCAGGAAGTCTGAGTGGATGCCCCCAGGCTTGCGGGCTGGCCTGGCTTTGACCTTACACCCTAGATAGCCTTGAGCTTAACCGAAGGAGCAGGCTGGAGGAAAAGCGAAGGGTGTGTTTGTGCCGAAAGGAGGGTAAGTGAGCTCATTGGGCTACTCGCTTTATTCCCATGAAACAAACCAGCCTGTGTTATTCTGTAGCACAGAGGGATCTTTGTACTGTTTACCTCCAGCTCTGATGTGTGTGTGTGTGTGTGTGTGTGTGTGTGTGTGTGTGTATTCTCTGCAAAGTCCACAAGTGGCATTAAATTTTTGAGTTGATGACTTTGTGGGGAGCAGGATAATTATTAAGATTCAGAGCAAATGCAACTGTCACCATAAAAGTGGAATTTTAAATCTCATAGATCTGGCTGCCATTTCCAGACCCTGAGTTGTCCTGGGATTTTTTTTTTGTGGGTGGGGAGGGGTGTCGGTTGTGGGGCTTGAACTCAGGGCCTGGGTTCTGTTCCTGAGCCTCTTTGTGCTCAAGGATAGTGCTCTGCCACTTGAGGCACAGCACCACTTCCTGTTTTTGAGTGGTTTAATTGGAGATAAGAGTCTCATGGCTGAGTCTCCTGGGCTGGCTTTGAACTGCTATCCTCATATCTCAGCCTCCTGAGTGGGAGCCACCAGTGCCTGGCTTGTCCTGGGATTTAGAGTCTAGAGTTTGGGCCAGAAATGAAGTCTGATGTGGGCCTTGCAATACAGCTATAGAAATGACAGCCAGAAGAGGAAGCCTGAGGGCAAGAGTTTGCATTTGGAAGAGGCCAGAAATACTCTGAATTGAGAGCATGAGTGGAGACACATGTGGTAATGGACACCTGAAATCCCAGCAGGTAGGATGCTTATGCAGGAGGATTGTGAATCTGAGGCTAGCCTGGTAAACACACTGAGATCCTGTCTCAACACTGGTCCCATTTGAGAGAGACAGAGACAGAGACAGAGAGAGACAGACAGATAAATGGAGACACAGAGAGACACACAGAGAGAATATGAGTTGAGAATGTATCTCCATAAGAATGGTTGGCTTTAGGAGTGTGGCTGATGTGTGGGGAGCTTGAAGAAAATATCTTTTAACAAATTAAGAACAAACTAGAAGTGTTTATCATCTTTGAATACAGGATAGTTACAGCCTTAAACCAGTTTTGGGTCATACACATATTAAGAAATAGTTCAGTTATCTCTAACAGCTAGATTAAAACTGGGTAGAGCAGCAGGTTGGGGAAAGGCTAAGACTGAGAAGATCTTTCTCTCAAAAAGGTTTCTAAAAGCAGAAGGCAAAAGAAAGTCTGAAGGGCTGAGGTATGCAAATAAGATGTGAAAGATGCCAAAAACATATGCACTACTTTTATTGCTTAAGACAATTTCAAGTAGGTGGACCCTAACTCCTTATCTACTTAAGAATACTGATTTCTTTTTGGAAACCAAAGATGATGATGAACTAATGAACATAATCTTGATTACTTACCCTGTCCGGGAGGATTTGGTTGAACATCTGCTTGTAAAACCGTGAATGATTAAATATCCAAACTGTAGAATGTGGAGAGGGAAGTATAACCCCAATGATAAAGAGGACTTGATGTTACCAGATAATTACCATATTCTATAGACTAGCAGCCCACCATGTGAGCCATACTCATATCCCATTTCATTTTCATTTGTTTTCAGTTTGTCTCTTGATTTTTCCTAGGCTGTCCCTGGACAGTGATCTTCCTACCTCTGCCTTTTGAGTTCTGGGATTACAAGATTGAACCATCAGGCTCTGAACTGACTCAGTCTTATGTAACAATAATCCATTGCCAGCCAGTCTTTTTGTTTTTGGTCAGTTGTAGGGCTTGAACTCTGGGCCTGGGCGCTGTCCCTCAGCTCTTCAGCTCAAGGCGAGCGCTCTACCACTTGAGCCACAGTGCCACTTCTGGTTTTCTGGTGGTTTATTGGAGATGGGAGTCTCACAGACTTTCCTGCCTGGGCTGGCTTTGAACTGTGATCCTCAGATCTCAGCCTCCTAGAAGTTAGGATTACAGATGTGAGCTATCAGTGCCTGGCTGAAGGCAGTTTTTTTCCTAACTTTATTTTTTTTTTCTTTTTAAAACTTTCTGAAAGTATAAACGTTTTTTGTTTTTGGTATTATTACTATTTAGGATTTGTAGTTTTAATATAGAACAGGCTTACAGTCTAACCTTCTTTGACCCTTTACTAGAAATTAATAATGCCTTTCACTTATGGTAAATGGTTTTTTCCCCAGCGTATGTTCTGCTATAAACTTGGCCTTTTGAATTTTAAGTGCAAATGAATTTATTTCCTGCAAACCATGCAGGTTGGGTGGCGTGTGTGGATAAAATCAAGGAGCTTGGAATTTGGCACATCTGGAGACCTGAGGCCTTGGAAGGCTGAGTTACTTGACCAAGACGAATAGCTTTTCTAAACCACTCCTGAAAAAGCAGATTGCAGCTGCTCACATGTTTATGGCAGTCTTGCCACCAAAGACCCGTGTTATTCCTGTGTCTCCTCTATGGCTTCCTGGCCTGCAGTAATAATGATACATTTGTGAATATCTGAACAAACTGCCCATACTTCTCAGGACAAGTACAAGCTGCCTACTGTTGGAAAAAAAAATACCCACGGGAAAGTGCTAGTTCAGGTCTGCAGAGAAGCAAAGACAGGATTAAACTACAAAGGTTTTCTTAGGGCAGATGACTGCATGAGAGGTCACTGGGGAGGGAGCCAGGCTGGCCTGGGAGAGGGTCAGGCCTGGGGGAGAAGTGTATAAGGCCAGTATGCAAATTTGATCAAGAATGAAAAAGAGCTTGGGAAGGGTAATGGACATAGTCCCAACAAGGCCATGGGGACAGAGCTGGCCCAGTCTACTAGCAGAGCAGTGGCTGGTCCTCAATGCACCTGTGGGAAGCCTGGTCCTGCCCCATCCCTACAAGGCTACATAGATCCCTGGGCCAGTCTTCACTGCAGTTAGGGTTGTGTGAGGCCTGTCTGGTGGCCACCACAGCACGATACTAGATGGATGATAGGTTACCGTGCACTAGGTCTTTACGTATGGTTTCTCATATGCCACTTCCAAATTCACTTCCAAAGGCTGTGGCTTGGCTCTCAGCATACCTTCCTTCAATCCTCCTAACTGGAATCATGGGGCAAGTTCTGTTTTCTCTCCTATTTCACAAAGGAGGAAACCTGGGCTGTGGATTTGCTTAGTTTGCTCATGATCCCAAGTGAGCAGCAAGAAGAGATTTCCCAACACTGAATGTATTTTCCCTGCCCCTGAAACAGGATTGGGGATTGGTTTAGAAATCTAAATTTTGACTGCATCTTACCTAACTTACTTATGCTATTTGCTTGGTTTATTTTGAGCTGTCCATTGGCCTTTTGACCTACTTGAACCTGTTATGAAGTCCAGGGAAATAGGCCAAAGTGGCCCCAAAGACAGGTCATTTGCACTCTGGGGAAGGGCAGGGTACAGAGTGAGTTGCACATTGTGTTCAGTGAGTGCAAGCAAGTAGACTTGCTTAGTACATTTACTGTGTGGAGTTGTCAACTAAGATTACCATACAGACTTCGTTTTTTTTCGATATTTACAACAGCAACTGAGAGCCTGGATTACCTTGTTAGTGAACGCCCTCACTACCTAAAGACAGATGACTGACCAAATTGCCTTCTTTGTAATTGGCCATGATGAGGCTGTCACTTGTTATTCGGGTGAATCTTGGAGTAAGTGGCTATTCTTGGCACTTTCTCATTAGGTCATGTCAATTTGCTCAACTATTGGTTGGGCTTTTTAGGCCTGGCCTATAGGGAGTTCTTGAAAAGCTGGAAAGATTTGTAACGCATCTTTATCTTGTCTTTCAAGCTCTACTTTTAATTGCTGTAGAATAAACTGACACAGGAGACTCACAGCTTGAAATTCAGAGTTTGCTAACTAAGGGCCACATTCTTTGTCTCCCTAGCTCCCTAAGCTGGTTTAGCTTAGAAAAGATGTGAGTGATGGGCTTTGTGTGATAGTTTATGCCTATAATCCCAGCTGATTGGGAAGTGGAGGTAGGAAGATTGTGGTCTGAAGCTGGCCTGGGCAAACATGTGCAAGACTCTATCTGAAAAATAAAATAAAAAGGACTGAGGGGTGTGGCTCAAATTGTAGAGCACTTTCTTGCCAACTTGGACACCCTGAATACAAACCCCAGTACTGCCTTCCCCTCTGCCCCCACCAAAAAAGGTGAGTAGTGAAATGCTAGAAAAGGCTAAAAGAATGGAGATGTAGACTTCTGGGTGGGATTTCATCCTGAAGTACTAAGCAGTTTTAATTTTTTCGTCCAGATAGTTTACATTTCCTCAGGAGTAGTTCTGGTCTCTGCCAGTCTCAGCACATTCCCTGAGTCACAGACTGAAGACCTAGGGTCTGAGGAGTCTGGGACAGTAGTGAGGTAACATAGTAGTGAAGTAACACAGTAGCGGTTGGGAGAGTAGAGATGTCACTGGTCTTAAAGTGATAGAGCCTAGAACCTGTTTCTCTAGGAAGCAGCAGAAACCCCAGGCATCCTGAGAGTCTCAGAGAACCTGGGATATTCCTTTCCTTCCTGGGGAAGTCTGAGCAAGAGGCAGACCCCAGGGAGGAACGGGCTCCTTGGAGGGTCAGGAATTAGGCCTGTTCACAAGGACTCCCCATCTCTTGGGTGAAGACTGTTTCAGAGAATACTCAAGGGAAGAGGTAGCGAGGCAGAAGGCATCCTGTCCTGGAAGCCATTCCTGGGAGGCTTGGCATTAGGGAGCCCCTGCTGAGGGGTCCCCAGTTGAATGGACCATGTGAGATGAATGATTCCCCTTCCTGGAGTTGATAGAAAATGACAGAAGTGCATACCTTACACACTCGAGTCACTCTACTGCCTGCACTTGACATCACTTCAGTGTTCAGATTCAACAGTGGATGGGAATGAACAAGATGAATTCTGGGAAAGTTTTGCAAAGAGACATGAGCCAGTCTTGACCATGATGGGAGGTGAAGTGTGCAAGCACAGGGTTTCAGCAGCTGAAGGGCCGGCCTGGTGGTCACCTGATGTCTCTCGGCCTTTGTGAAGGCAAAACTGCCCTCTGGGCCCACAGTGGAGCTTTCTTTACCTGCAACTGATTCACTGAAGGAATTAAGCATGCAAAGTCTAAAGGCTCCTGTGCAAACCATGCTGGGCTTTAGAATTTCACTCTGTTCAGGGGGCACACCTAGGGAATAAAAGCCCCTAGATTCTCAAATGGCAAATGTGTTAACTTTTCTGAACTCTTTATCTACAGTTTAAGTTCTGACTAGTGTGGTGCTTAGATTCCAAAGGGGCACATTTGCTAGTTTACAACTTACAGGAATCCAGAGAGAAAATAGTTCTCTCTCAATATTTTCAAGGATGGCGGCTAAGAGTATGGATAATATACTGAAAGCTAATACATAGGATTTCCTCTTTTCATTTCCCTTCTCCTCCCCTTCCTTCTCCCCTCTTTTACATTTCTGTCTTTTCCTGCTCACTTGGTGTGATCGCTCAACCCTGGCTCTCTACCATCCGAAACACACTTCTAGCCTGACTTTTTTTTTTAGTGGGAGTTAGAGTGTTGAGGATTTTTCTGCCCAGGCAGACTTTAAACAGTAACCATCAGAACAAGTATGAACCTTGTAACCCTGCTCCTTTCTTTTTCTTTTTGTTTTTTTTTTTGGTCGGTTGTGGGGCCTGGGCGCTGTCCCTCATCTCTTCAGCTCAAGGCAAGCGCTCTATCACTTGAGCCATAGTGCCACTTCTGGTTTTCTAGTGATTAATTGGAGATAAGAGTCTCATGGGCTTCCCTGCACTGGCTGGTTTTGAACAGTGATCCTCAGATCTCAGCCTCCTAAGTAGCTAGAATTGCAGGTGTGAGCCACCGGTGCCCGGCTAACCCTTCTCCTTTCTGCATTCTTTTTCTAGTCCTAGGCGAATTTTAATTCTTCGAACATAGATATGCATAGCATAACCTGTTTTGAAAATTCAGTGCTTTAACTGGGCACTGATAAGGTGGCTCATGCCTGTAATCCTTTCAGAAGGCTGAGATCCAAAGGCTCACATTTCAAAGCTAGCCCAGGTAGAAAAGTCTTTGAGACTCCATTTCTAAAATAACTTGTAAAAAGATAGGTGAGAAGTGTGGTTTAAGTGATAGAGCTCCAGACACAAGCAAGCAAACTAAGTCAGCAAGCAGAGCAAGTTTAAAGTCCTGAGTTCAAACTTCAGTGATGGCAAGATAAAAAAAGCAGTATTTCTATTTGGATTGCTCCCACCCTATTTTCCCAGGCACATACAGATACCTGACAAAACCCCAGGTATGTGTGGACACGCTTGATGTGCAGGCAGGGCCATCCACCTAAGTCTGGCTGTAAACATTCTATTGTGGGCCTAACCAAAAGTCCCACACCTCCCTAGACCGAATGGCTTTTTCATTAGCTTTGCCTCCTTGCTTAGACCTCCTATAAGCTCGGCCCCAAATCTACCACCTTGCACAACTTCTGATCCCATGGGAAAGTTGCTGCTCCTTGCTGTTATACTTCCATAAATAGTCCTTGCCTGTGGAAGATGGAGTCTGGCCTGATTCCTTTTTCCTTTCTCCTCCATTTCCCTGACACTACTTCATTGATTTGTTAGGAAAATAGCTACTAAGCACATACTATGAGTCTACATCAGTGAACAAAACTGACTATAGAAATGTCTCCTGAGGGCTCCATTTTTGGAGAATTTATCCTCTTTCTTTACCTTTCACCTTCCCATCTATGTGCCAAGTAGAGGTACATATACTTATGGCTGGAATGGTCACTTCACAGCCCAACTCAGGAGTTCTCTCCATGACAGTGGTACTCTCTACCATGTCCCAGGTGAGGGAAGGATCTGGAAGTATTGATCAACTGGAAACATCCACAAAGCAATCATTGACCAGCCACCCACTGTTTATAGGATTGTGTGCTCATGGCTAATGGTACAGAAAACAAGATCTCTGCCTTACTGAGAACTTTAAAACCAGTGGGAGGAACAGCTTTCACAAGAAATATACACAACAGTCTAGGAGAGGAGAGTAAAGGAAAAATGCAAACAGCCCAGACCTGAGGTGCTATCTGGTGTCACTTGTGTTTTGTTCTGAAGCCAAATGACACTAGGCCTTTCCCTTTCTTCTGGGAAGAGCCACTTATTCCCCTACTCTCCTGAATGAGAGTAACTGAATTATAGGATGTTTCCAGTCTAAGATAAAGACATGAAGTTGGACCATGAGACCTTTGGGGAGCCTGTATATTTTTTTGTGAAAGGATTCAGTGAGTGAGCTGCAGAGGCCAGCTGATACCAGTAGGTGGAGGACTCGGCCAGGCCACCAGAGCAGGTCACAGGCTTGCCAGGGGGTCAGCGGGATGTGCCTGTGATTTGAATGACAGTGTGATTTCTCTTTCTTTGTTCCAGATAGTCATGCTCCAAAACACCCTGGGTAGGGGGCGGGGGGTGGGGAGAGGGAGCCCAGAATCTAAGGAATATAAATGACATTATAATTATGATTATTTTTATTGTGCTAAAGCAGACTGAGCATAAAGCAGACTGTACTTTTTCCCTTTCAAAAGCTTAGATATAAATATGTTGCTATCAGAAAGAATATATTCTGATGAAGAACATTGGAAAAAGTATGTGTGCGTGTGCATGCGTGTGTGTGCGTGCGTGTGTGTGTGTGTGTGTGTGTGTGTGCCAGTACTGAGACTTGAACTCAGAGCCTGGGTGCTGTCCCTTCGTTTTTTCACACAAGGCTGATGTTTCTCTTCTGGCTTTCCTGCCCCGGCTGGCTTTGAACTGTGATTCTCAAATCTCAGCCCCCTGAGTAGGACGTATAATAAGCAGGAGCCACTGGTATCTAGACCTAGAGATTTTTTTTTTTCGAGAAACCTATAAATTTAAGATGCGCAGACTCTCCACATCCTTATGCAGCACTTAGGAAGTGCTCTATGTTGGATGGACTGGAGGCTTGGGCCTCCCAGTCAATCATTTCAATGTATAGGATTAGAGTAGCGGAGCAGAAGCCCTGCTGGGGCTGGCAGAGGGGATCGGGCCTGTCTGAGCACATCTATGAGCTGGTGAGATGGCCGGAGGGAATCTGACATCCTCTGGGGAGGTAGAGTCATCTGGGAAATATGTCAGGACTTGTTCACTGCCAGGATTAACTCCAGAGGAGCCGTTTAGCAAGCGGAGGGACTGTGAAGCTTTTGAGAAGCTTCCTGGCTGAGAACTCACCCTCAGGGTAGAGGAGTCTGGTGATTAGCTTGCCTGGAAAGAAGTCTTCGCTGATGGGGAATGGGTAGTCTTACTGTGAGATTGTCGCAGTTTTGGGAATTCTGTTTCCTGGTCCAGCGACCTAGAAGCACTGCATCATGGGGATGTGAATGGTCGCTGGGAGGTCACTAAGCTTTATGACAAACATTTCAACTCCAGAAACTCTGTTCTACCTGCCAACAAGAACTGGCAATCATGCTCAGGGATTGGCTTCCACACAGCTTAGAGGAAGGCAGGCATGAACCTTGGTGACCAACGGGCAGAGTGTTGCTGGCAGAACTGGAGCATACTGGAACAGCTTCAGGAGACCCCCCAGAAATCCAGGGTGTGATAGCCGGGCTTGGAGGTTGGGTAAGAGAAGTAGGAGCAACAACTAGTGGTATTTGTGTTGGAATGAATGCAAGGCCCTTTGATTTAGACTGAAAAACATGTATATGTCATACAGACATATATGTATAATTATAAATATACTATGTCATACATAATATATATATCTCATATATGATGCATTATGACATAGCTTCTTAGATTTTAATAAATCTAAGAGCTAAGTAAATCCCCTTTTCTGGAGGATAATTTTTTTAGAGTGGTAAAACACACAGACAGTTGTCCAAATCTTAAGATTGTGTCACAATGAATATTTTCAAATGAATAATCATGCAAGCCTAGACTGAGCTACAGAACATTCTGGGCAGCTTTAATGTCTACCTTGTGTCCCTCTCTGGTTGCTTTCTCCAATGCTGCAGATGGCTTTTGCCTGTTTTGTTTTCGTATAAGTGGAATCACATAATACATGTCTCTTTCTCTGACTTCACTACTCATCTTGTGAGTTTTATTATGTTTTTGCCAGATTTCATATTGTTGTCATTGTATAGTATTCCATTATATAAACGAAGCACAAATTGGTGAATCCATTTTACTGTTGTTAGATGTTTGATGATGTGTTTATGACCACATGTCCTCATTTTTTGTTTATGATATAAATACTGGATCTGAAATATAAGGTTTTGTTGTGATGGTTTATATTGTTGTTGTTTTGTGCCCATCTTGGAGCTAGAACTCAGGGTTCTCTGGGCTTTATTGCTCAGGGCTGAAGCTCCACCACTTGAACCACACCTCCACTTCTGGCATTTTGCTGGTTAATTGAAGATAAGAGTTTCCTGGATCTGTCTGCCTGGACTGGATCCTAACTGCAATCCTTACACCTCAGCCTCCAGAGCAGCTAGAATTAGAGGTTTAAATTACCAGTACCTAACTGATACAGAAGTTTGTTTTTCCAGTGCTGGGCTTGTGCTCAAGGCCTGGGTGTTGTCCCTTAGCTTTTGAGCTCAAGGCTAGTACTCTGGCTATTGAGCCATACCTCTACCTCCAACTTTTTGCTGGTTAATTGGAGAGAAGAGTTTCACCCACATTTCTGCCTGGGCTGGCTTTGAACCATAATCCTCAGACCTCATCATCCTGAGTAGCTTCTCCTATACAAATTTAAGTGATTTTTTTTTCTTCCTTATGTGGAAACTGCAGTTTGCTATTAGGGTTCATATATGGTTTGAGCGTGACCTAAATGTTTATGTGCTTAAAAGCTTGGTCCCAGTGTGGTGGTGTTGAAGTGGTGAAATCGTTAAAAAATTGGGCTTAATAAAAAGTGGTGAGGTGGTGATGAAAAGGAAAAGCCTGGCCCTGATCCCCTCTTGCTTCCAGTCTTGCTGACATTCTCTCTCTCTCTCCTGGTGGGAGCTCTCATTGTGATGTCATCCCCATGTGATGATATAGTTAGTGGGTCATTTACCAGAGGCCAAAAGGGTGGGACTGCCTAATCTTGTCATCAGTCTCCCAAACTGTTGTCAAAATAATGTATTTTCTTTATTAAAAACCCAGCCTCTAGTGGGGGTGGATAGCTCATACCTGTAATCCTTGCCACCCAGGAGGCTGAGGATCTGGTTTGAAGCTAGCCAAAGCAGAAAAGTCCAATTGAGACGCTTATCTCCAGTTAACCACTCAAAAAAACAGAAATAGTGCTGTGGATTAAAGTGATAGAGAGCTAGCCTTGTTCAAAAGAGCTTAGGGATGTGCCCAGACTCCTGAGTTCAAGCGTCACCACTGGCAAAAACAAACAAAACAGACATCTCCCTGCCGCCCATTTCATACCTTTGGTTACAGCCACCAAAATCTCACCAAGACACCTGGGTATAAATGTAGTTTGTGTGAAGTAAAGATATTAAAACAATGAAGAAACTGAATTTGACTAGAAGGCTAGAAAGAAAGAGTAGGCATTATTTAGAATAGCCGGGCAATAACAATTTTGGGATTTATCATTGTTGAATTCTCATTAATTATCATATAAGTGGTAATGCTGACAATACTGCATTGCTTATGCCAAATTTAAAAGTCTTGTAGGATAGCTTTTTATTGCCACCCAAACATATTTTAGGATGCCTCATCCTGCAAGCTAATTTTTAATATCAATCTAGGAACATATGTTAGGAAAGTGATTTTTAATTAAAAATGACTTCGGTCTATCAGAGCAGATGGTTGAAAGTTAACTGTTGCTCTCATAGTTAGTGGTATTTGCCACTAGAAACTGTAAAACATCAGCACATCTTTAAGTTTTTCCTCTTAGTTAGCAACTTGACAAATCTGTTTATGCTATAATGGATGAATGAAAGGGTAGGGGACTA